CTGATCCGTTTGTAAAGCGTCCACTTTCGACTCCTTGCGGCCAGAGCCCTGTCTAAACATGGTTTCCACCATGGTGGCCGTTGTTTGAGTCTTCTAGACCTCAGGGGTGGAAACTCTTCGGTGAATCTCAGTAAACTATCCTTAAATGCAGTCCATCTCTCTTCGATAGTAGGATCAGCTGTTGACGGTTCTCAGCTGAAACCTAATACCGACTCTGGAAGACTCTCTTCTTGTGCACTCCCATACAAGCGAACCATCTTGATCCCTGGCTTAGTGTACTGTGCTGGTACTTTTAACTGAAGGATCGCGTGGTCCATCCTGAGACTAACGACATCTGACCTTGCTCGAGATATAGCCAAGTAAATGGTTGAGGGTCTCTGGTTGAAACGGAACCGAGTGGGTTCCCTTACATGCTGTACAAGCGCATGCGAATGGATCCACTCCAGTAGTGCCCACCCCGCAGTTCCTCTAGGAGCTCGTTCTTCTTCCCAAGCTATTTCAGGAAGGTTTAGATCCCCTACGATGAGCCCTCCAAAGCAACTCTTGTAGGGTACGCATCAGTTCATTATCCTCAGTCACGGTTGAGATTGTTGCCCCATAAACGCAGACAATGCCTATAGGTCTTGATACAACCCTTAAGTGGCAAGCAGTAACCTGAATATTGGGAGTAGTCAACTGCAGTGGCCACTCTCATTCGTGACAGGTAGCTTGCACAGTTAAGTGGACTCCGCCCCCTTGCCTCCCATCTACTCTATCCTGTCTATATTCGGTATACTCCTGCAGACCTAGGACCATATCTTCACTCTTGAGCAAAATCTCATTGACAACAATGACATCTGATTCTGCTGTCCAGGTCTTTACCCCCCCCCCCCCACTTACCCCGGAGGCTGCACGCATTTATATACCGGACAGCCACATCAGGGGTCCTGAGCTTTATTTCCCTCGGGTCGTTTCTTGTTCGGGTGCCCTCGGGCGTAGGACCCGGGGGAGAGTCAAGTTGTTTGCTCTAAGGGAGGGTGATGTCGGAGTCCTCGACGGTGAAGTCGTACTTCGCTCCATCTTCTGAGGGAGCCGGCGACGGACCTTTCCCAGTGCATCTTGTACTGATAGCCTCCGCTTTGTTGTTGGCGTATTTGTAACAACAGTTGCCCAACTGGCTGACCTACGGCTTCGAGTGTCTGAAATGGTTTTCTTGACCGAATCGGGTACGATAATCGGAACGCTTTTCATCCGAGCCTCGCGTGGTTTTGCTCTTTTCTTTCAGATGAAGGCGTCGCTGCGCAACATTTATACTAGTTTTATCGGGCTTCGTTTCTTTTTAACGGTGACAGCACTTCTTTGGTTCATTGCTATTTATGGCGCCTCTCAGGTGGTCCACTCTTGGCTCTTTCACAACTATAGGCGTAGAGCTACCTAGCGGTACCTAATCTACTCTTTTTATTTGTATAGTCGGTCCAGCTGCTGGCACGATCAATGGTCGTAACAGTCAAAAAGACTGAAAATTCATCTCAATCACCTTGTATTTCCATTATCTTTCTTTGCCATTCTATCGTGCATTCTTTCCGACAGTGGTTTTCATATCGGTGAATTGTCTCTTCTGAACGTTCTATTTCACCCTTCTTACGGTGAAGCATATCTGTTGGGCACACTTCAAATGCTTTGCTCTTACATGTAAATGAGATTCAATGCTTTTTCTTGTTTTATTGCGACCAAAGTTTCGATTGGACGCTCTTTGTTGAACTAACCGTTGTTTTTGATTAAATTGAACCCATTTTGGCTGTAATGCTCAAGATTATTTTGCTTGATCTGTTGAAGCATGCAGAATTTTTCTGTTAGTCCAGAATTATCTGAACGGTAATTCAAATCACTAATTTTGTTATTTACTTTTTATTACCGCAGATATTTTCTGTGAATATTTGTAACATTTTGGTTGGATAGTGAATCAGGCTCAGTATTAGAGGTATGACTGCCTTATGTATTCGTGATTGATGCAAAAATAGTACCGTAGATTATTTTTGGATTGACTTGGTTCTCGATAATTTGGGCTACGCGTTGCTCTGAGATTTATTTATCGCTATCCAGAACGAGCGAAGTGTCATTTGATTGAACGCGTACAGACGAGGTCCTTTTCGTTTCGCTCGGACCAAGACAATCGCGTTTTTGCCGTTACAATGTTATTCAAGTTCTTTTCACCCATGCCACCCGAGACTGGTGTAACCCTGGGTGCTTGAGTGCTAGTGTCAAGAGTGACCCTCACACGACCACCTTTGACGGTGTCCATTTTCACTGCACGCGTTAGCACGGCGTCTCTCATGTACATACTCGGATAGGCTACTAACAGCAGCCTTGGTCCAACCGCTTTAATGCTTTTCCATACACAAATGCGATGGCACTTGACAATTGGAGCGCTTGCGGGCATCCCAACCATCCCGAATATGTCGTGGAGGCTGTGCCTGTCGTATTCCTTTCTTGCCCTACTTTCGCGGATAGATGGCTCAATCAAATTATGGAAGACTAGGGTTCACGGCCTACTGAACATCATTTGAGTGGAATTTTTCACTATGGATAGTTCTCTTTTAAGGACGTCCATGCGCAAAATTGGGGCTGCGATCTCTACAGACGCTTTATCTTCCTTTTCATCATTCTCTCTCCCTTTTTTCTTCAACTTAATTTCTACCGACTCACTCGGCTTAACACTGATGCTCTCCTTACCCTTGTTCTTTCTCGGAGTATTTGTTCTCCTTTGTTGCATGTTAGGGTTCAACCCTTCGACAGCAGTTCAGTTCAGTTCAGTTCTCACAGAACCATTTGTGGCTCTTACCAATCGAACGTTCAGATTTGTGTGTTGTTGGCGAGATTCTTTGGCTACCAACACTTCGATATGCAATTTTTCTGAAAGGCACAATTGTGTGATGCAGTATAACATCCTTTGTGGTTAGGTTATGGATGGTACTAAACGCTTACCTCAGGGAAAACACTCATCAAATGTCTATTTAAACGCATCTACAGTACTGCAGCTTACCACTGACAGCGGCAACCGGTTCCACAACGGAACTATCCTGTTAGTGAAAAACGTTACCCCTCATTTACAACCTAGGTTGGCTTCAATGCAAGCATGAGTTATGTCTGCGTGTGCCTCTATGATGAACCCACGATAACAGGTCGTCAAACATGGGGTCTGATATACCCTTGACTGTCTTAAGCGCCTCGATTAGGTCTCCTTTCATCCACTTCTGTTTGAGGGAGAACAGATTTAAATCTCCAAGCCGCTGTTCGTCGCTTTTCCCTCGTTGCCCAGTTATCAGCCTCGTGTCTGGACGTTGAACCCTTTCTAAGGTATCGACGAGCTTTCGAAAGAGTGAAGCTCAAGTCTGCACACAATATTCCAGATGCGGTCAGACGATGCTTTTGTACGAAGGCAAAGACCTCGAGTTTTCTGCACGTCATGGTTACGCACAGACGAAACAGTTTCCCTTTGCTTTGTTTGCGGCCTTCACACATTGGGTGATGGGTTTGAATTCCCGCGTTACACTATGCCTAGATCCTTTGCGTCGTACACTCTTCGTACCAACAGACTCCTTGCTGTCTTTTTGTCAGTTATGACCTTCAGTATCCGACATTTCGAGACGTTTATTAGTGGGTTCCATTGTTCGGCTCATTTTTTCACTACCTCTATGTCTCGTGCTAGATCCCATCCAGCTACTATGACGTCATGTGCAAACAGAATACTGGGATTTTGGAGATCCCGTGCTAGGTCGTTAATGTAGAGTATGAGTAGCAGTGGTCGATGTACTATTCTTTTGGATACACCGTTTGTCACCACCTCCTCTTCGGATGTGTGAGCTCTTACTTTCAAACTAAACTTCCGCTGCGCAAGAGAGCCCAATATCCAGCAAATGACCTGCCCACCTATTCCCAATAATTGCATCTTATAATATAACAGATGGTTGCTGACCCAGTCGAATGCTCTCTGGAAGTCCAGATAGCATACCTCCACCGGTAGGCTCCTATCTAGTCTACGTGTGACCTCGTCTAGAAACACCTGCACATTTGTCCGACAAGATCTTTTTTCAACAAATCGGTGCTGAGCTGATACCAATAAAGTCAGTTTGCACAAGGTAGGAGATGGCCACGGCCAATCGAACGAGCAGAGTGCCTTCGGTAGTAAACCACGTGTTGGCCACTACCTTTGCGAGTGTTGTATATTGTGGTTCTTCACGTTTTCTGCTCGTTCCGGTCGTCTCCGTCTCTGCAAGGAAAAGGAAGAAGAAAATAAATATCTCCTCCACTTGTTTAATCGAGAGACCTCACATTTGGAAGCGATCCCTTGTTGGGGTAATTAGTAAACAAAAATGCTGAAAAATGATTTGAAGCTACGCGTCCAGTCCGGAAAGTAGATCCAACTAGCGCCTATCGAACTTTTCTTGAAAGCATTTACGCTCCGTAGCTCCACCAGCTCCAGTAGTAACTTATTCCATGAGTTTACTACCCTGTTGCTGAAGAAGTGTTAACGTACAACTGGTCTCGTGCTCGATTCCTTCAGTTTATACATGTGCCCCCCTTGTTGCTTTGCAACCTCTTGAAGAACACTGCCTGATCAGTTCCTGATAAGCCATTCATAATTTTTATTATCTCGAAGTCTTTTTCTTTTCAAGGACAAGAGTCCGAGATCCTGCAGTCGTTGCCTATACGGTTCCCCTCGCTGCGCTTCGATTATCCTTGTGGCTAATCGTTGGACCCCTCGACACAAGCAGCGTTATTTTTTGAGGAAAGGAGCTCACGCTTGTATACAATACCCTAGATGTGGTCAACCAATCGTTTTGTATATGGGTACAAATATATCCAGTTTCCCTCACGTTAGTACCGACCGCAGTCTAAAAAGCTATCTACGGGCGCGGTGCGCCGCTGTGACACACTGTTCCGCCCATTTGTAGTCCGCTGTAACTATAATTCCTAAATCTCCAGCTTTCTTTGTCGTTTTTAGTGAAAGACAGCCGCAACTATTCTCCAGGACTAGCCCCCTCGTCTCGCGTGGACAAGATGGCTCTTTCCGGTGTTGAGGGACAGATCACATGTACTTGACCACTTGAGCACTTCACTTCCCTTGCTGGTTCTGTTCTTCCGTCTGATCCAACAACCTTGACGTCGTCCGCAAATAGGAAGCTAGGTGAGCCAAGACGCTCAGGACGATCATTAATGTGGAGTGAGAACAGGAGAACCAGAGTACAAGCCGCAACTGCGACCACAGTTTCTTCCAGCTCGGGAAGCTTGGAAAAGCATGCGGGTACCTGTGACGGCATAGGCTTTTCTGAGTCGTTTTCTTTCGATCCCACTTGAGAATCCATCCCTAACGTGAGGTCCTACATGATAACCCCAATTATTACCATATTCGGGTTTGCTAAGGCCCGTGGTACTTTTGGTAGTTGCTTTAGTGCAGCCCTATTACTTTTGCGTCCTTTCATGTAAATATACGGTCTCCTATTTGGTACCCGCACTTGCGGTTCATCGGGAATAGTAGCAGATCCCTATCCAGTGGTTTGTCAAACTCTACTTTTATTGGTTTGGCGGGCACCTGCGATGCTTTCGGGGGTAGGGTTTTCCACCTTCCAACCAGGTGCATTCTCTTAATTCCTATGTTTGGTGGAGCCCCGGCGAACCTAAGTATATCGCAGACTCTACCTCTGTCAATTTCCCTACGGGCTTTTGACTATCTTATATTCGGCTACTCATTGATAAGTATGAGAAGGTTTCTTCCAAGTTCCCCTGTGGGCTACTCACTTGCTTTTTCGGCCGTTGGAGCTCAACTTTCAATCTGTCTCTATTCTATTGTGGGGGAATGATATTTCTACCGACTCCAGGCTTAGACTCTAGGTGCGGCTTAGAACGGCTTGCGCTCTGACGTGCCTTGGTATTTATCCCGGGGAGCGGCTTATTTAGCGGCGGGGATACCTCTGCTGCTTTCCAGGTTCTAGGCAAAACTGTTTA